TATTAAAATAATAATTTACATGTTTTTCAATAAATAAATACAATACAAAAATATTTTAAATTATACTACCTCATCGAATTTTTCAACAATAGAAGCATCAACAATGTCAAGTGTATTCTTCATGACATAATATCTACAAACCCATCCATTATCTTGACGATTTGCCCACATATAAAATCTTAGTTACAATAAGACACCAAAAACAATATTACAATGTTTTAGAAATTATCACAAACATGTCATCAACCTAAAGTATCCTTCGCAGTGAATAATGATATATATGAGCAGGAGTTTTGCATTTGTTATGCATGATTGCATAGACAAAGTCACAAATTTTCAATACATGTTCTATATACAAACATTCTAAAGTGGACTATCTTTTGCATCATCCAACAACATATTCCTTTATTACAGACACATTCAAAGAACATGCAAACACTTACAGAACCAAAACGATTATCAATTCTACCTCTTGCAAACACTTGCAGAACCAAAACAGTTATCAATTCTACGTCTTGCAATCACACACAACCAATTACACATACAAAAGTAGAAATTCAAACACATCAAACCTCAATGCATGACATATGCTACAATGTCTTGCAAAATGCAAAAGGTGGAGCCATAGTACAACATAAAAAGATTCTCTAACTTTGTTACCTATCTTAAAAGTGACAACAAACTTTATTTTGTTGACATCTACAAATGAATTACATACATGCAAACACTACAAAATTGAGGGATATCATGTCATTCTCAGATCTCCCTAATATCTCTGCCTCTGAATACTGTTCACTACCTCTGTCAACTATAAATGTGATTCATGTTTAGGTTTGGTTGATAGTATCTTTCACTCTTATTATTTACACCACCAAAATGGTGCATGACACTAAACTAATATGTGAAATAGATTGCAATATGCATTATACCTTACTAAATAGGGTTTGATTATATATATATATATATATATATATATATATATATATATATATATATATATATATATATATATATATATATATATATATATATATATATATATATATATATATATATATATATATATATATATATATATATATATATATATATATATATATATATATATATATATATAGGAATAGTCTTACTAAATAGGGTTTGATTATTTTGCAAGATAACAACAATGTCATTTACTTCCCGTTTTCACAGCATTGAAATTTGAAAAAACAAAGTTTAAACAAAGAGAAACAAAGGTTTAGATACACATATATTCCCAAAAGTGACTCTGTCTCAATTACAAAAACAAGTACAACTAGGTTAATTAATTGATCTACATGAAGAAACCGATGAAAAGAGAAAGAAAAAAAAAACTAGCATCACAAATTAAACATATACAAATGGGGGCTAGTTTGATAGCTATTAATATAATGTTATAATCATCCATTGGTTTTAAATAAACTAGCATTATATTAATGTAAATCACTTACCTTGACAATCTTTCAATTAGGCTTCTTATTCTTAACACCTCTTAATAAATAGTATCCTTCTCAACTCTAATAAAAGAAATTATAACATAAATAAGTTATAAATATAAAGTTAAAAGGTATAAAAATTAGAGTTTTTCACATATATGCCACAAATTGAAATACAAAGTACCAATATACCACTACTTGAAAAAAATGTTAAAAATGTCACGGTTTCAGTTTGGGCTCGTCCTTCCAATAGACGACCCATTGAAGAGAAAAAAACAGTGTCGGGGTTCGGCCAATGGATGGCCGACCTAATGCTACGTCTTTTTTGTTTTGTTTTTTTATTATTTTAAAAAGAAATATATAATACTTATTATTATTTTATATATTAAATTGTTTTTTAAATATTAAAATTTATTATATGATTTGAAATATTAATAAAGAAATAATTTAATTAATTTTATAATATTATAAATATTTTTCACAGTATCTAATTAATTATTTAACTAATTAAATTAATTTGATTATTAAACAAAATCATAAATAAAGGCAATTTTATTAATACTGATGAGTGAAAAAGATACATCATTTTTGTCTACGTAAATGACCGTCAGTTCCACACATTTTACTCTTTTTTACTCGTTTTCCGATGCCTAACTCTTTGGGTTACCGTCTTGGAGGTGATGGGGTAGAGTCGGAAGTCAACTTTTCATGTTGATGTTAATGTGATGTATCGACCATGTCCACATCAGTAACAGAAAAACCTGGCCATTCCATGAGTTGATCATCAGTTAGGAGATAGTTGGGGACTGGATGTGATGGTTGGATGAAGGTGGTTGGAGGGATGTGTTGGATGTGAGGGTAATAAACATTGTCAGTGCGGCCGATTGAAGTCGGTTGAGACAGTGAAGGGTTAAATGTTTGGTGTTGTGATTGGGGGTAAGAGAAATCAAAATTAGGTCGAGGAATTGGAGTGAATTAAAAAGATGGTCGACATATGGTTTGTTCCTGGTATTCTTGGTGGTAGTAGAAGTTTTATTATGGGGTTGGGGTGTATGGTGTTGGTTGTTGAGAGAAGGTGGCAAAGAATGTGGTATGAGTGCGTTGATATATTGGTTGGGGTTGTGTGGGTTGGGGGTGTTGGTATGTGGGCTGGGTGAATGAAAATGTCTGGGTTTCAAATTGCGAAGGGTTCACCTGAGGCATTTCTTGAGGCATGGACGACGAGGATCTTTGTTGTGATGAAGACGATGCATACTGACGGGGGTCTTCTAGGAACTGACCTTGAGAAGCATGCATAAATGGAATGGATAAAAACCATTGCATATATGCAGTACTGTGGACATAGTTATCGTTAACCATGTTACCTCGTAGGGTCAATTTTTTTTCTTCTGTTTTTCCACTCGTTATCCTCTTCTCTATTTATATTGCGCTAATGATCTCCCCATGTATTGGGCATTTCAGTTTCATATTGTTCACGTAGACATCTAGGCTGAGAAGGGATATCTTGTTGAAATCCAAACTGCAATTTTACCCTATCAGCTTGATGCATTTCAAAAATATGAAAACTGATAATTGAAGTTGTAGCGCTCCAAATCTGGCTATCTGCAAGGACGCATTCTAGGCAGCTTGGGTAGGGCCTCCAAATAAACGGTTACATAAAATATAATAGTTAGACTTTAAATACAAATGTTAGCATATATTTAGAGAATGTAGTGGTAACAAACTTACATCGTTAGCCCTCAATCTATCTAGTGCAAACCTAAATCCTCAGACGTAGTGTTGGGGATTATTTTGGTAAGCCATGCCTCTTCGAACAAATCTTGCAATGTTAAAAGAAAGAAATATAATATAGGGATGTAAAAAAAAGAAAAGAAAATGTAAATAATTTTTACCTTGTTGCATAAGGATGGTGTGAATCGACGGAACTCTCTAGAGCAATTAGTGGTATATGCCAATATGTCCAAACACTTAGTAGCAGAACGCACCCACCAATACTTTTGACCCCTACCATACATGCTTTACACATATGCCTATATAACGTAGCTAAACAAGCAAAACCCCAACTATATCTATTGCATTTATCTAAATCTCCTACTAGGGGTATCCAAGAAGAATGAAAATAATTATGGCTCTTATCTGGCATTAATACTTTAGCTATGAGTAGTAATATATAAATTTTTGCATGCAGAATATTATCCTCATCGGACGGTGTTGGGTTTTACCGTAATTGTGCTAATATAGTTTGTAGCCAAATAATTTTAACACAGGCTTTATGTTTATTGGATGTTGAAGGTTCGATACCTAAATTTTCCATATATACATCACTGCCTACTTGAGTAGGACCATTCACAGCCTTATCATTCACACAAAGACCTAATAACATATTTACATCCTCCAAAGTGATGGTACACTCACCTGTTGGAAGATGGAAAGTATGTGTTTCTGGTCTCCACCTCTCCAACATAGCAAGTACAAGCTTTGAATCAACTTTGATTGAGGTTATTTCTGCAACTTTTGCGAAACCTGCAACTTTGATTGCGTCACTTGGTGCATCGATAGTATGAGAATGTAGTCTAAATCTGTCGTTGTCGGACTGTTTCAAATATTTAAAAATAAATACAAACTTGATGATGTAATATTAAACACAAGCGTGAAGAAATTTTTTTTACATATGCGGCAACATTGGTCGGTGTTCCTCAATGGTTTTCTCCCATTCACAACATTTCCATTTAGAAGTATTAATTTAGATTGTTATTTTTTTTCAATGCATATGAATAAAAGCTTATTGCTATTTATAAGAAAAAGAGATGCACCCTAATACTACATGAGACATGCAATTATCCGTTGGAAAACTACATGCCTAATACTACACTGCACCCTACTATGATTCCTCTGCACCCTAATACCTAACTGCACCCTACTATGATTCCTCTGCACCCTAATTCTACCATCTGCAACCTAACTCTACTATCTGCACCCTATGCCATACAATGACACATGGTCAGCATACAATGACACATCCTTCAATGGTTCGCCCTTTGGATGGCCGAACCTATGCACATGTTTCATGGGATCGTCCTTTGGATGGACGACCCTAGACGTGGGGTTCAAGGGCTCGTCCTTTGGATGGACGACCCTACACATGGTCATGCAGCCATCCTTTGGATGGACGACCCTACACGCGGTCAGCATGCACAAATGGACTATATATTTTTCATGCAAGTGTTGTAGACTCACATCCAACTCCCACACCATCTGTATTAAAGCACCGTGATGACAGATAGAAATACAATACCATGCACTATAATGGTTCCGTGTTCACTGATCAAAGTACCGGTTTCTCATTCAACGGAATAAATACGGTGATGTTCAAACTTCATCGAAGTTCTGATATCCTTCATCTAAAAGAAAGAATAAAAAAAAAGTGCATCGTTCAGTTCAGGATATTACTTACCGTCAACCATTACCTAATGGGGTAGATGGTCGTGTCTTCTACATAATGATACAGATAATGTAGTCAAATCAATGTTTCATTGTCATCACACAATGCCTCATTTGAAGACGATTGAGTTATATGTTCGCCTTGATGACGAAGCATATCCGACGCAATCATCATATTCGCATCAATACGGAGTGAGCCAAACAACTGATGAAGAAATAATGCAAAATAATGAACCTTTCATCCGGGACGAGGAGGTTGGTGAATACAGTGACGATGAACTCCATGATGTTCACTTTGAAGATCTATTCGATGATGGCGATGAAGAGGATGTGTTCCCCGTGCATTCACAGGTAATAAATGCTCAACCCATAAATCTGTACAATCCACCAGCGCATATGTCAAACATATGTATGGAGTCTTCTCAACCCATCTATATTTTTGAAAACGACAAACCAAACCATACTGGTGAAAACATGGAAGTAGGTTTGGTGTTTGAAAATAAGGAAGCGTTTATTCTTTTTTTTACAACATTACCATATTAGTAACAACCTTGACCATGCAGTATATAAATCTAATTTAGTAAGGTATATAATAAAATGTAAGAACCCGCAATGCATCTTCACATGTAGAGTTGCATTGCGTAAAAAAAGTACATTATGGGAGATCGCTACTATAAGCGGACCACGCACTTGTACAACAACTTCTATGTCACAGGATCATAGAAAATTAGATTTTGAAATTATTAGCCACAACATTAGAGAACTTGTTAACAGCGGCGCTTCACTAAAAGTCAAAGTGATACAAGCCCATATTGCTGAAAAATACAGTTATAGAATCTCATATCGAAAATCTTGGATTGCAAAGATTAAAGTTGTAGAGTCACTTTATGGGAATTGGGAGACGTCTTACAATGACTTACCACAATGGTCGTTGGGGATGAAGACGTATCTTCCTGGAACTGTTATATAGTTGAAAACATTGCTAATTATTACAAAGGACGGATCCCAATTGGGTGACAAACGGAAATTTCACCGACTTTTTTGGGCATTTGAACCGTGTATCCGTGGTTTTACTTACTGTAAATCGATTATGCAAATTGACGAAACCTGGTTGTACGACAAGTACAAAGGGACTTTGTTGATGGCTGTGGCACAAGATGGAAATGGTAACATTTTCCCGATAGCATTCGCATTGGTTGAAGGTGAGACAAAGGATGGTTGGAGTTTCTTTCTCAGGAATTTGAGAATGAACGTGACCCCCAGGCCAATCTTTGTCTAATATCCGACCGACATCCATCAATCAAGAGTGCTTACGATGATCCTGAAAATGGGTGGCAGTTTCCTCCATCTTCACATGTTTACTGTATCAGACACATTGCGCAAAACTTCATGCGTGAGTTCAGAGACAAAGAACTACGGAAAACAGTTGTCAACATGGGTATGTCTACATCTTCACGAGTTGATGTTTCAATTTTTATTTATTGACTTATTGATTTTCATATGTTTTACTGAACATTTTGTTTAAACATTTTCATCTACAAGATATGCACTAACAAAGGCAACATTTAACTACTACAAGGGCGAAATACGAAGAACAAATAGAGCAGCTTTGGAGTGGATAAACAATATTCTCAAAGAGAAGTGGTCGAGGGCGTTTGACGAAGGACAGCGGTGGGGACACATGACAACAAATTTGGCCGAAGCTATGAACTCGATACTTAAGGCTACCCGAAACCTTCATATTACAACATTGGTCAAGTCAACGTTCTATCGTCTGAGATCGCTGTTTGGAAAACGAGGACACGATTGGACAAAACTGTTGGCATCCGGTCAAACTTTCACGGAAAACTGTAACAAGGGAATGGCCGACGAAGCGAGTAAATCTAGCAGCCATAATGTCATTCAATTTGATCGCGAGATTCTTTTTTATGGTTGCCGAAAGCATTAATCAACGCGACGGCCGACCATTAGGTACTTTTAGCGTTGATCTCAAGAGAGGGTGGTGCGATTGTGGGAGGTTTCAGGCATTTCATTTACCTTACTCCCATGTAATCGCAGCATGTGCCAGTATACGACAGGATCATAACATGCACATACCAGATGTTTTCAAGGTTCTAAATGTATTCAAAGTCTATAGTGAAAGCTTCCTTGGACTTTCACACCAGCAAAATTGGCCAACATATGAAGGATTCACTCTTTGCCATGACGAGACAATGCGAAGGAATAAGAAAGGGCGTCCAAATAGTACAAGAATTAGAACTGAAATGGATGATCTTGAGAAAGAAAAGAGAAGATGTGGGATATGTCGAGAAATTGGTCATATGCGTAGAAAATGTCCGAATGTGGCAGACCCGTCAAATCGGTCCATCTAAATTATTTTATTTGTTTTTCAAATTATTTTCCAAAATATTTCTTAAATTGTAATGTCTAATATATAAATTATTAATATTTTAAATTATGTAGTGAGTTTTTAATATTTAAATGATAATGTCTATTATTTTATATAAATTTTAATATTATAAAACAATTTAATATAATAAAATATATATAAAGACGTAGCATTGGGTCGGCCATCCATTGGTTGAACCTCAACATTGTTTTTTTCTCTTCAATGGGTCGTCCATTAGAAGGACAAGTTCAAACTGAAATCGTGGCATTTTGAACATTTTTTTTCAAATAGTGACATATTAGTATTTTGTATTTCAATTTGTGACATATCTGTGAAAAAATCTAAAAATTAAGTATATATAAATGGGGTTAATATCCACTCCATTTCTGTATCCCTCCATTTTCTCCATTACTATAGTTTTATCTATATAAAATCAACTAAATATTAATTATATGTCACATGTCATAGAAATGTGTGTTATTTACACACAAAATTATAATAATGGAGAAAATAGAGGGACAAAAAAATGAAGTGGATATTAACCCATATAAATGATATCTCTTGATTTAGGTTTCTTCCCTCAAGTATGACTTTAATATTTTTCTTGGGTTTTGTGTTTAATGAACAAAACTAAAAGACTATCATTATCCTGGGAACAAATAACACACAACTGTCAGTGATTGTTGATGTTTCAAAACAGAAGTGTTAGATTCACGAAAATTCAAATATTACAAAATAACATTAAAAGAAAATTCAAATATTACAAAATAACATTAAAAATATATAAAACTTGAAGGAAACATATACTTACTGATTTAACAATGATCCTAAGTAATATTATTTGACTCGCCATCCAACTTATTTTGTATGTATGATTGAATAACTTCGACTTGTTTGGTGGCAAGTAGTGTCACTAAGATATCTGTTATGGCATTTTCTCGCGAGGTTCACACGGTTTATAGAAAAATCTAGGACTTGCCAAGACTATTCTATGCTCCCTGTAATATTTACATGTCGGTAAAGCATGAAATACCTGGTCTGGAAATAAAAAGATCATAGATTAGTTTATCCTACTCTTTACAGAGGAATATAATATAATGGCGAAATAATAGTTAAATAAGAGGGTTGTCTAAAGTCCATCAAAATCAATAACCCTCTAGAGGACTGTATTACAGCACAACACAAATATTTTGTGCATGTACTTACATTTAGCATATCCACTTTATCTTAATTTGAACTTAAAGAACATGCAATGCACATATATATTATATCCATCACCTAGGTTCCTCTGATGCTGTTCAGTATCAGCAAAAAGGTCTCTTACATTCTTTTCAGCTTCTCCCACAAATTTGCTCAAAACTTCCAGGCCATTTACAATCTATTACAGGTAAGAAAAGGAAAACTAAGATTCATCAACCACCAAAAATATAATAACCGGGCATTAACCTATAGAAAAGGAAAACTCTTTCTGCTTAAAAATGTTACTAGTAGTACCTTCGTACTAATTGATAATCTGCAAAGCACAACATAAAATGGTAAAAATATGCCAGGATAGTTAGAGTTAGTATAATAGAGTTACGAAGTTTTCCTACCTAGTTGGAAAAATACTTGGTTATTTTTTGTAGAGTAAAGTGATCATAAAATGACATTATTTTTCATAGCAAAGTGTTAACTATCACCTCAAATGGAATACATGAAACAATGATCAAACTAACTTACTGGACTTCGTTACTAAATGATATATAGAAGATACTACCAAATTAATCAGTAAAATTAAGCATCAAGGGATAGTTAAGCTGTGTAAGAATTTGTAATGTGTCGAAAAGAACTGAACAGTAGAGTAGATGTCAACAAAAATTATGAAACTAAACTTAATTCCACTATCACGTGGCGCATCAAAAACAAAGAAGCAACATAAATTTCTATCCCAAACTACTCTGATCAACATCATATATATGACAAGAAAACAAACTTGTTTCAACCCACATAACATACCTGTTCATTCTTGTTTCCAACCTTTTTATTGAAGTCCAGTTCAACGGTTAGCACGACCTGGTCGAATTTTTCAGGTGGCACAAATCTTGAACAAAAAAGGAGCAAAATGGGAGGTCAATACTGAATGCTAATCAGCTAAATACATACTAAAACTTGCTAACAGGGTCACATCTATGGATTCAGCAACAAAAACATAGGTATATATTATCAGTAAACCAACCGTTGTTAGAGGACTTACAATTCCACTATGGTTGGGTTATCCAACCACAATTAAAGGGTTTACTGATAAATTAAAACAAAACTTATTTTGTATTTCTTTCATAAGACGCCCTAGGTGAACAACCGAGCCACAGACGACAGCGGTGGCGTAATCTTTATCCTCTTCATATCCATTTATTTGGAGCTCAAATCTTCACCCTCTTCGTTCATTTGATTTTTCAGCTTCAAAGTACGGTACTTTTTAATATCTTCATTCCTTTTTTTCTTGGTTTATGTTGTATATGCTCAAATATTCACCCTTTTCGTTCATTTGATTCTTCAGCTTTGAAGTACGATATTCTTCAACATCTTCATTCCTTACGTGCATAAACTTCTGCAGCTTTGAAGTACGATATTCTTCAATATCTTCAATATCTTCATTCCTTTTTCTTTGTTTATGTTGTATATGCTCAAGTCAATATGAGAGTACATGTTTCATATGATTTATGTTTACATTTTCATATGCATATGCTTAAGTTTTTGGATTAGATTTTGGTGTGTCATTCACATTATTATATGTGTATAAATTTCAGAAGTTGTTATGGATCGTAGTTGGATGAAAGCCGATAGATTAGATTCGGCTTATGAGAACAAAGTTCTTGAATTTCTTGAATACGCTGATAAACATCTTCCCGACAATAATGGTATCTTTTATTGTCCTTGTGTTGTTTGCGCGAATATAAAAAAGGGTACAAAGAAAGAAATATTCCATCACCTTTGTTGTGATGGTATATGTCAAAATTATATAATATGGACGTGGCATGATGAGGTGGATAAAGAGGAAAGTCGGGCGTCACAAAGTCAAAGAGTGGATGAAGATGAATATATGGAAGATCAACTAGAGAATATGTTCCATGATATTAGGGAATCTTCTTTTAAGAATGCTCATATTTATGATACTTTATATAGTGATAAAGACACCTCTTTATATAAGGGATGCACAAATTATACACGATTGTCAGCGGTGTTAAAGTTGTTTAATCTGAAGGTAAAAAATGGATGGTCGGATAAAAGTTTTACGGAATTACTTGAATTGCTAAAATAAATGTTAATTACCATATGATAATAAATTGTCGGATCATTACTATGAGGCCAAGAAGATATTGTGTCCAATGGATCTAGAGTATATCAAAATACATGCTTTCCCTAATGATTGCATATTATACTGGAAAGAGTATGAAGACTTGTATCAATGTCTGAAATGTGGTGTGTCGCGTTACAAGTTGAAGGCCATCAATGCTGATGACAATGACTATGACAATGTTAGCAGGAAGCATCCTCCTGCTAAAGTGTTATGGTACTTGCCAATAATTTTACGATATAAGAGACTTTTTGCTAATTCGAATGACGCAAAGAATCTTAGATGGCAATGATGAAAACATTCGGTATGTAGATGATTCGTTGCAATGAAAAAATTGATTCGTTGTTTCAGGATTTTAGAGTTGAGTCAAGAAACCTTAGGCTTGGGCTTGTCACCGATGGAATGAACCCATTTGGTCATTATACCTTTTATACAAAATCAAAAGATGATCGTAGTATAATGCAAAATAGTGGAGTTATGGTTGAAACCGAATCGACGTATTTCTCTAGTTCGAATGATAAGAATTTTGTATTAACAACTACCATGTTTTATGGTGTCATTGATGAGATTTGGGAGATTGATTGTGTTATTTTCAAAGTGGCTTTATTTAAATGCAAGTGGTTTTCCAATAATAGTAATGATGCACATATTGATGACTTAAGATTCACTCGGGTCGACCTTGGCAAGACATCTTTTATGACCGAAACATTCATCACGACTTCTCAAGCAAAACAGATTTTCTATGTTACTGACCCATCAGGCATATCGAGGAAATGGTCAATCGTTCTCCAAGAAAAACACATTTCTCTTAGTGATGAAAGGCTAGATATTCCGTCCACACCTTCTTACACAACACAAGTTCCTGCCTCATATGATAAAGTTGATGGAGATATCGTGCATGCTATTCGCATTGATCATGAAGAAGGCATATGGAAAAATTAACAAGTACACAATTTATTCTTTATTCATAATATATTAATTGTATGTTATAATTTCTAAGTATATTTACTAACAAGTATAATTATTTGAAATCATAGGTCTTTAGATTTAGAGTCAAGACACCAAGAGACAAGAAACCAAAACACCAAGTTACAATTAGGTGATGTTATGTAATGTGTAAACTGTAGGTTGTTTGCTCTGATAAATTGTAGGAAGTTTGTTCTAATACAATTGAATACGATACAATTATGTGATATTATGAATATGATACAATTAATATTATTATGATAACTTTATCACAAATGTGAGTTGTATTTTCTGTTGTGATATGGTGAACAATAATACAGGTTAAAAAATAAGATTAATTATAAAAGCAGGATAATATTTGTTAATTCTGCAAAAAATGTAACAATGGTTATATATCATAACCGTTAAAATATCTCGCGCGCTGTCCAGGGAAAAATAAATATCAAAATAACACAGTTGAGAATCGAACCTATGACCATTATTTTTATCACAAAGGTCTTTTGGAAAACCCATTACCCTAAATTTGTCCCACCTGTAGATACTTTTCATTTATCAAAAGTGTGTGGGGTATGATTGAGGATTACTAAAAGCAAGTAGCACTTAACATAAAGGAAACTACAAATGCACAAAAATGATAAGGAAACTGCCAGTATTGAGGAACTAAGCTCTTCTTCCTTGCTTCA